TGGCGCTGACAGTCGGACACAAAAAAACACAGAAAAATGACACCGATGACGGCGGAATAAGTCGAGAGAGCAGAGAGAGAGGTGATGAACTACGAAACAGAGGGAATCCACTACGACAACAAGGAGGAGCTGTTTTTGTTACGACAAAGAGCGTCGGCGTACTTCGACACAAGGGTTGACGTTCAGCGGTCAGTGGCAGCAAATGGAGACAGGTCAATGAGAGCACAACAGTTGTTGTTGCGCTTATATCAAAATGCATACGTGCATGACGACCACACCATGGCATCTTGCTCTGTGAACACCCTTCACCAAGTCATGGATTGGATGTGCAACGACGGAGACACCGACATGACCAAAAGAGATGGAGGCGGTTCGTACGACACATCAGCGTTCAAGAAGTTTGTGAAATCTTATGCGAGGGAAAGTCAAATGTTGAAGACAGGGGGTGGTGACGAATTGAAGCCGAATGCAACGGAGATATTGACACTGAGCAGGATGAACGAGGTGCCTCAAAGAGATCCTATTGACTACCATGAACTGACAACAATGGTGGTGGACGGTGTCGAGTATGTGCTACTAGACCAGATTGTTGACTTTATGAAGAGTGGAGGCGAGGACAAAAATCTCATTCACGAGGCATTGCATGAGGTGATGGAGGAGGCAATAGCAGCAGCGGAGGTTGTCGATGTTGAGTGCGTAAAGGATCGCACACTCGACCTTGTATCGGGGACTCCTGTGCCCCGGTGGAACATATTCGAGGCTGTAGAGGAGCTGACCGCGGCATTGACAGACGTGGACAGGAGGAGGAAGAGAAAGGGAGGATGGCAAATGCTTGTTGCAGAACACGACACCGCACGGACACACACAAGAGATACAACTGTGCAGGATAGAGGTGCCCCAGTATCTCTGTCGGATGTCAGGACCGTGTTGAAGAATCCTGGTGCTAATGCAGCGACTGTCCATGGCGGATTCAGAGAGTGGAGATTAACACCCAGACATCCTTCACGTGACTTCAATAAAGGAGGCGAACAAGCATCGCAGCAGGGAGATGATGTGGTGGTTCCTTGTGACGACAAGGGCGATGCACAGACAAGACCGCAACAAGAGAACCCGACATCATGGGAGTCGGGAGTGAGTGGCAGTGATATCAGCAGCGACGAGGAGGGCGAGGAATACGATCCTTATTAGGACGTAAAGCGAGGTCGTGGTCAGGGCTCGAAAGGGTGGTGTCATGCAATTTTGAGGTTGGCGCGTGTTTTCTCGAAACCGCACCCGTTGATACGAGTTCTGGACAAGGTGGCAACACCGGACGGACCTCTACACTTCGCAGCTATTAAGACAATTATGTCGTGCATGGACAGCGGCAAACGTTGGACTCGCACTGGAAATCATGGTTTGTTCTCATACACAAGGAGGCCATTCTGACGATATCGTTGTCATGGGGTGTGAACTTGAGTTGCATCATACATGGAGCAGTTGCCACTGCATGCGGTGGAACCGTGCACCCCACAATGTCAACAGCGGCAACAATTATATATGCACAACCAACACTGCGTCTGCGTGCCACGGAAGACAACAAAATCGATGTCGCTATGGACATAGGCCAAACATTAGAGGAACAATCGAAACGGAGAAAATTATAGGGCTCTCTCTCTCTCTCTCTCTCTCTCTCTCTCTCTCTCTCTCTCTCTTATGCAAAAAAACACACACAAATTAGATATTCTTATTACCG